CTGTGGATGACCCCAATTGACGCCATTTCCCCCTTCTACCGCGTTCCCATTCCTCGTCAAGAGGAGGACGCGGAGGAAGATGTGGAGGAGCACGTCTATCCGCAACCAGGTTATCTGCGATTCCTCACTGTGGCCGCCTTTGTGTCCAATTGGTTGGCCTGGTTCTCTCGAATCGAGGCATACTCGTCATTGGGCGTATCTCGTCACCCGCCTTGTTTAATGTGTGAGCCCATGTCGGGATTTGTGTTGCAGCCTTGGAATTTGGGATGCGGACAGTCGCCACTTATTGATTTGTGGCCCCTTTGGATGACTCGGAGACTGGTGAACCTCCTTCTGTGTTGTGTACCAAGCAGTGGTAGGGACATCTCGCGACACTTCTTCCCTTTCACCGACTTGGATGAGATATGATTCTGGTGTTTATGTAGGCTCTAATTTTTTTTGAAATTATTGCTGCCTTTTTTCAGAATAAACGTTTTCTTGTTTTCTTGCTTTTCGAGATAGTCTGTAAGTCTCCGATCCCGAAAGCTGCTTAGCCCTTCAATATGCACACACTATGCCGCCAAAATATGGCTGCGACTAAACTTTGCGTTAACACTTTGTCTGGAGATTGCACACATTAACACAAGCTCTGCTGGAAGAACTGAATGATTGGTTGTGCAGTCATACGGAACGCCCCAATCACATTCGAGGAAGATGTTGTCAGATGTTTCTACTCTATTCGTGAGGCGAACGATACTAATTTAAAGTTGCTTTTAAAACAGATTGGTAGTAGTATCTAGCATTAATGTTTGCTAATTTGTCAGATTGACAAACATTTTGTGGCGCTAACACTTCGCCGTTAATTTAGAGAAATGGAGGTTTCTGCTAGTATCAGTGGCGGATAATTTGTCAGTCTAGATTTAGGAGTAGAGTAAAATAACTTGATTAATGTGCAGGTAAAAACACTTTGTCGGCCGTGGAGTTGCGTTACCTGATGACAGATAGGTTGGCTTCTAGCCAATTTATAAACCAATACATTTGCCTTACACCTGAGTCCCGACCTACTCCTGTGCACTAAAATATCCTCAGTGTCGTAAATCATCCGCAAAGCCCTACGAAGTCCTTAGAGAACTCACGACTTTGCACCAGACCATGGAATGCAGATTACAGAGGCGTGTGTACACACAACACTTGAATCAGTCAGCAGCCAGATGTGATGTCAGCGAAGGAGTGTGTGCTTGTGTGGGATGGAAATTTTGTAGGCTGCGACGTACCTTAGTGGGACACATTTGTGAGTGAAAAGTCACGTTTATTTCACTTACATAACATCAGGAGCATCACCGAACATGGGGAAAGCGGCAGTCTTGGGGAATGTCACTTTTGGCAGGGTCGATGTCAATCTACCGCTGCTAAAACGCATTGCCTTCGTTAGCAATGTAATCTCTTCTGTGCATGTTTGCCCTCACTATGCTGAATAAGAATGATGCTTTCACGAGAGTTTGTCTGTGTATGTGTGCTTCGTCGGCTAATAGAACCTTCACCCCATGCCCATATCAAAATATTTGGGATGCTGAAATGGCTCTTTGACTTGTTACAACGGGTGCCGAGGTGCAAACAGTTCGACAGCTTTGTGTTGATGTTGTGTGGGTCGGATGTGCTGGAGACACAACAAAGTAGATGAATATTTGCCTATATATTTGAGTCTGGTTGCATGCAGGGGTTATCCTTGCTGCAAGCACAGACTGTAATTTTCTAGGACCAACTTAGCTCCGTCAGAGTAGTATCGAACGCCGTTAGAGAAGTATGTCATAGGAAAATGGTTGCCGTCCATCGATGCTTAGTGTAAAACCCAAATAACGGAAAATAAATTACATAGCCTCACCTTCTTTTATGCTTTAGTGTCATTAGTTGTTTGTAAATACTTGTGCCTAATGCGTCAGCTTAACGAATTCGTCAATCGCACCGATAATGTTAGCACAGCAGTTGATTAAATTAAGCCTTTGGTTTGGTGTACATTTTAACTCCAAAGTGCTTCAGTTTGGATTTGGTTATCTTTAAGCAATTAGAATGTAAATTGAGATCTCTAGGCTAAACATGTAGACAGAAATTAATACTACCTTGATAGAATTACGGTGTTGAGTACGATACAGTCGATTTAAATTTGGTCCAATTATAGGGATTATCCAAGTTTGAAAAATGAGCAGTGATTTTTCATGATCTAATTAGGTTTTAGGTGGTAGAGGAAATTCACTGGAATAATGGTTGTCATTGTTCGCGATGTCGGATCAAATCCTAAATAATGGTAAATAAACTGCACAGCCTAACTTTCCCTTGTGCTCTGATGTCATTATTTTATTGAATACTTGCGCATAACACGTCAGCTGACGAAGTAATCTATTCAGTTCCATGTATTTAAAATTGCATCGATTTAACATTGAAAGCAATCGTCGAAATGTATGTGCCTAGTGTGATTAGTGTTGGTTCATGAGCTTGCTTTAATTTGGTGAAGCAGCAGAGGAATAATGATTCTCGACTCGGTTTAACTACTTCATATTTTTTGTGTTAGTGCATAAGTCATTTCACTGGACTGGAAAGCAACAAGGTTAGACCTTTTATTCTGGTACGGTGAAGGTGTATATAATGTACAAGGCTAGATCCCTTCACGTCAACCTATCTTTTTGATGATTATTTGCAAGAAATGTTCCATCGATAAGTAGAAATTATAATTGAAACAGCACATCGAAAGTGATGCTGAAGAAGCCCAGTCAGTACCTGTGATGATGTACAAGAGTGCAGACAAATAGGACCACATCGAGCTCAGCCAATGCTTATTCCCTGTGCGTTTAAAAGGCTTGCGAGGAAGATCTGCAGCCAACCAGAAACAAGAGCTTAGTGGGCTCAGATAGACAGCGCCTGACGTACGGTTCTTGTTTCTGATTGACCAATAAGGCCTTATCTGTTGTACTAGTCATTTCCACACCAGGGCTTGGGTATTCCACGTGCTATTGTAAATCGTAAGCAATTTGGCTCTGGAAACATTACCAACCTATCATTTAACGCGAAGATCGTCATGGTTCTCAATAAGAGAAAGGTTACACAGATAACGGTAATTTAGCTAATCCCTATACTAAATGACAATCCTTTAATGCATTTGCTTCTGGGTGCAATGTCTCATAAGGTTGATGAAACTTTACGTTTTTAGAAGAAATTTTAATGGTCGAACTAGGCAATCAATAACTGATTTAAGGTTGCCTATCCAGGATTATATATTCACTTCAAAAAACGTGAGTGGTTATGGAAATTTACTGAACTTACGAGGATGTCCTTGTCGACTGTACTCGGCCATTGTGCTAAATTTCAAAAATTGTTGTATAGATAATTTGCCGCAAAATATGTGAGGGGTAT